GATATACAGTAATAAAAAGAGAACTTTTGATGTTCCATTGTATTGAGATCTATAGAGTCAGTGGGGTGAAGTTTCTGGTGTCATTATTGATGAAAAGCTGACATGGAKAAATCATATAAATAATTTAAGAATAAAAATAGCCAAATCTATTGCAGCAATGTGCTTATTTTAATGATAAAGCTTTGTATATGGTGTATAATACAATAATTGTTCCACACTTAATTTATAAGTCTGAGGGAAAACATGTAAAACAGTAAACATAAAATCAGTTATGTATAGGGCTCATAAAAACACATTACCTTCAAACATCCAATTATATTTTATTAAAAGAGAGAGTTGTGACAATCTTAAGGGGATAGAGTTGTTTGTAAAACCTAAATCACAAACCAGTTTGAAGGAACTACTTACTACTTCAATCCAAGGAATAAATTCTTGGAATAATCTGGAGAATGATGTGAAAAATGCCAGATCAGGAGGGGGCAAGATGGCGGAGGAGTGAGTGTCGCGTGGCTCCCGCTCCAGGTTCTATACCAAATGTCCTTGCTGTTTTAAACATTTGGTCCGCCCGACGCCGCCTCGGAGCAGACTGCAGCTAAAGCCGGAGTTTTGGCGCCCTCCTCTCCCTCCCGCAGCGAGGTGGATGCACTCTCCTTGAAGTCTGACATTCTTGCCGCTATAAAAACCGATCTCTCAGCTGTAATCAACTCCAAAATAAAAGCGGCTTTGTCTGAAGAGTTTACTCTTATTAAAGGAGAGCTACAAGCGGTGAGAGCGGAGGTAGCTAACGGCACGATGCTACTGCGCACAGATCTGGACCACGTTAAACAGAGCGTTAAAGAAGTGGAGGAGGCCATGTCAAACTGGTCCGATAAGGTTGTTGCTCTGCGCACCACCGTGTTGGAACTGAAAGAAGTCGATGGGCTCAAAAAGAAGTGTAACGATATGGAAGGGCGCATGAGAAGGTGCAATGTACGGATTATTGGAGTTCCTGAAATGCCAGAATACAGCTCCACTTCAGCAGTGGCTAAACTGCTAGCAGAGGTTCTACAGATGGATAAAGAGCCACTGGTGGACCGAGCCCATCGCTCTCCAGGTGGAAACAGGTCAGGCGATAAGCCGCGGGTTATTGTCGCTAAGCTGCACTATTATCAAGAATGTGTGGAAATATTGCGTCAGGCTCAGAGTCGTGGTCATCTTCGTCTTAAAGAGACACCGATCACCATCACATCTGACTACACAGCGGCTGTGGCCAAGGCTCGAGCGGCGTTTACGGAGGTGAAGAGGCTTCTTCCCAACCGACTTGATGTTTGCTATGGCCTGCTTTTTCCTGCATGGCTTCGCATCTCTCATGGGGAAGAAAGCAAGGAATTCCTGGA